GTAAAATAAAATAAATATAATTTGGCTTCATACAAATATTGTGCTTTCAATCCTTTACACTGTAAGTGGGCAGTATGAATATACATTCGTAAACGTATAGTGTTATTACAAAAAAAAAATATATGGAAGTTTCTTTTAAAGACAGACACAACTTTACTTGACCCGTAATAAGGAAAGCAGATTCCTATACATTATGTGTATGTGTTTTTATTTAAATAAAACATATTTAGTAAGAATTGTATAGATTTCAATAAATTTCTATGATAAAATATGTTACTGAAAGATGTGCATAGCACAAATGTATGTGAATGTGGTGGTGTGTGCGGGATGTCTGATCTATAATCAGACACACATATGCCCAACATTTGAGCCGCGTCACGACAAAACCAACATAATGGGTTTGCGACCAACATGGATCTAGACCAGCCTGCGCGTCCGCACAGTCTGATCAGGATCCATGCTGTTCGCTTTCCAACTCTTTTACAAGTAGAGAAACTGGTAGCGAACAGCCTGGATCCTGATCAGACTGCGCGGACGCGCAGGCTGGTCTGAATCCATGCTGGTCGCAAACCCATTATGTTGGTTTTGTCGTGACGCGGCTCATTTGTAATTGACTATGCACATGTTACAAAAACAAACAACTTCCTTCTTTCCTTAATTTACATGTATATTTTAATGCGTTACATACCTATTCGCCACTACTAGTGACTCTGAGACATTTATTAAGTTAAAAGGCCAATAATTTTTGCTTTTTAATGTCCAAGTCATTAGATAAGACCTTCGCAGTACCTAGGCAGGTGCTAGACAACTGGATGACAGCATAATATGTTTTGGTAAGGGAGTACACTAAGAAGACTATTGCATGAAACTGACACGTATATATTCCACGTATATTTGGGGGTGGTGCAGCCCTTAAGCCAGGGCCTGAAACCGCCACTGACTGTACGTGTAACTGCCCCATTGCATCACTTTTTACGAGCATATTTTTTTCTATTAGACTATATACATATATAAAATTATATTGCATAATCCTTTACTACTTGTATTTATATTCTTTCAACTGCAATGTATGTATTAAACGCTTAGTACGTATTTATATATACATGTACGCAGTATCTATACGGAAAATTCCGATGATAGGCGAATCGTGGAAAAAATTCCGTTGACATCGATAACAGAGTTCTCGCCCCTTAACAGTACATAGTTTTAATTGTTTATCATAATGCAAGATGATCAAACATTATCCATAAAGCCTCAGACACCGAGCTTTATTAAGCATAAACACTGCATAATGGATATAAGCGAAAGCTAATAGTAATTACGCCATGCGAGCTATAAGTCATATTTTAAAAAATCCACCAGGGAACATTAAATAGTTAATTTTAAATGACTTATACATAAAAGTAATACAAAAAAAACTAAACCGTAAATGGTTTGTATAGAGCATGAAGAATGGTAGCTTATGCATAAAGGTATATGACGTTAACATTTTAGTATTCCAAATGGCTTGTTCCAGTTTATTAGTTATCAATCAATAAAAGAATTGGTGACTACGAAATGTTTGAATGAAATAACGAAAAATGGAAACCAGCATAATGCAAAGTTTAAATATCATAAAGCAAGATGGAATCAAGCATAATGCAAGTTCTAATGTCATGTAGCAAGATAGAATTAAGCATAATGCAAGTTCCAATGTCATCAAGCAAGATGGAATCAAGCATAATGCAAGTTCCAATGTCATAAAGCAAGATGGAATTAAGCATAATGCAAGTTCCAATGTCATCAAGCAAGATAGAATAAATGCATTAATTCTGTTCCATAATTTTCCACATTTTTCTCCCTAAATTGAATTCGATTTTACGGGATAATAATTCCCAATTAGAAATATTATTTCGTTTTAACGAAATATAAAATCTTAATTACGAAATATTGATTCGTTAATACGAAATATTATTTCGAAATTACGAAATATTAATTCGTTATTACGAAATATTATTTCGTAATAACGAAATATTAATTTGTTATTACGAAATATTTATTCTTTGGTAATATCTATAAACCAAGTTTATTGTTAAATATAAGTCAAGTAAACAAAATATTAAATCTTTTTTAAATCATTAAAACATTTCAATCTTAGTCTTATTCCTTAACGCGCTAGTAAAACAGTACTGTGTATAACTGTTAATTGAGCCATTATGCTTATAATCGCTTAATTTGGTGGCCAATCTCATTAAAATCTGATCATATTGAATAATCATTAATTTCGATTTTGACAAGAATAATTAAATGCATCATATTGTATCATAGTTTTAATGACCTATTTTAGTATTTTCAAGCGGTCATTTTGAATTGACCTTTTGAAGGTCAATTTTATTTTCTTGGTATCTACCCTCATCGTCTTCAGCATACCCATATTAGGTTAAAACACTCAAGATATAACTTGTACTTTAAAATGCCTCTAGGATTCATATTTTCTTAAAATCAGTTCTGTCTAATATAATCAGGCAAACTTTTTACTGAAATGTCTTACTAAGATTACCCAGAATTTATACCTTTGCCTATGGTAAGACTGTCATATTTCTGTAAAATGTGTAAATAACAGACGGGAAAATGATGCATTTAGCTAAAAACAATGGAGTTAATGAAAGGTGTCCTTTCTTTTAAAATAATGGAAAATTTGAGAAAAACATATTTCAAGCTTAATAATTGATAACAATTCTTTACTTGGTGATTTATTTAGTGAAAGTTCTTCACTCACTAATCAAGACCATTTAAATCACTATTGATTCAGGGCACATGTTTTGTGTCTATTTAATACCTTGATTTTTGTTTACCATTCGCTTTGACTACACTATATTATTTAAAACATAATAAACATAAGTTTTCTCTGACCCCAAAGTGCGGTCGTTTGCCTGATGTTAGAAAATGCATATGTACCTGTTTAACGCACTTTGGGGTCGAAATTGGACCCCAAAATGCGTAACGAACTCTGGGACCGGAACCCAAAGTAAGTAACGCACTTTGGGGTCGGACCCCAAAGTGCGTTTGACCCCAAAGTGCGGTTTTACAGCGGACCCCTGCCATTTTAACTTGTTGATTTTAGACTTTTCGCTTGGCGGGGTCGCGGTGCGAAAACACGAATGGCACAAATCAGCCACCATATATTAATGACACATATTGACACGCAAGATTTTTTTTCTCTCTACAAGTCTTCTGTCGCCCTTCTGTATTTTTTAAGATAAAGTAGCGAGATTTTATATTCTCGAATTGCGCCGCTCAAGATGAAACTAATTTTCGCGAGATTCAAAATGTAAAAAAAAATGCGATGATTAACCTTGATTTTGCATGTTCCTTTCGAGAACTGTAGTTTATTTACAATACTTGTGACTATGAGGAAAATAGAGAAAAAAAGAATCCCTAAAGAAAGTCCAAAACAACACAATTGAATTTTTTGCAGGTTCGATTTTATTCAACCTGTTAATGGATGGTACTATCAAGTTCAAACTACAGTCTTCGCCCTCTAGCACCTCAAGCGGAATTCAACATTTAAACATGAAAAAGTGACATTTTGAATTTAGAAATATCCACAAATGTATTCGCACGGCGGTGGAACCTTCACTGCTACACTTTCGTGTCATTCCATGAAAAGGGGCGTATGGTCCCCAAGTAATTAAATCGTGCGTCCTAAACGACAAAAAAATGGGCGGACATAAACAAAATGGAATTTTGAAAGGGGGTCGGAGGTTATAGACCTTGCATATCACAGATAAGCCGTCAAAAGACAAAGTTAAAAAGCAGGCAGCATATACTAAGAGTGATTCAACTTTATTCTAGTTGGAATATTTGAAGCACCCAACAAGAAAAAAAAATAAAAATACCACAAACAAACCAAATAATAATGTCGTGCTGAACGATCTTTAAGGATCGAAAGTTTTTCGAAACAGAATAGTATAAGACGTCACGAAATATTTCGAATTGACAATCGCAACTGTTCGGCCCTTTCCGCCAAACTTCGTTTTATTATTTGATGGGTTGGGTATTCCGAGTGGATGTTGTACGGCAAGGAATATTGTGCACTTATTTCAATAAGATAGAATTCATTTTCATTTGTTATAAATGATGTAATATTGATTCCATTATAAGTAATATAACCAAAATCGATTATGTCGGATCAAACTGGTCCAACTTTGATACATACTCTAAACATGTAAATGCGTTTATGTTCTATGGATAACATTTTGGACCTCAAATTCGGTAAGGTAAGTTTCCTTATTCGCATCCTTAACGCAGTGTTAAGGACCGTAACTTCTGGAAGAACATACAGCAGGACAATGAAATATTACCGAATGCTCGCATGGTTCTGCTGACATGACTTTACTAAATCCCTTGCTGACATTACAGTCGGCAGGACATACAGCAACTAGTACATTGCATTTTTACTTAATCATCTGCTGGCTGAAATTCGTCAGAACATACAGAAAAACATGGATTTTTTACCGAATTTTCTGCTGGTAGGACATTTGGCAAGACTTTCAGCTGTACATTGAAATGTTACCGAATTCCCTGCTGACAAGACATTCGGTAGGTAATCTAGTAGGACATTGAAACGTTACTTTTTTGCGTTTGTATCTTATTTGATTGGATTAAATAATCTGATTTAACTAGAAACTACTAAAATAAGGATGATTTCTATTTTAATGTCACGTATTGATGTAATTAGACGCTCAATCACATGATCCTAAAATATGATATTGGCATTGATCCGTCGAAGCTCCGCCATATTTTCCTACTTTTTTGCCTTCCGTCAAACTTGGGGAAAAAACACTGTCACAGCTGGTAATAGGACTAAAATAACAGTCGTTACAACTTAGCTTTACTTAGTACAAAGAGTTATGGAAATCGCCTGAGGTGATCCGAATGTTTGTCAGTTTTTCCGTTACTAACGATCATTCGGTGATGTTTTGATTTTAGGTTAGACATTGCACGCAGCGTTGTGACGTCATAGAAGAAGTTGACGTTACTCATTAGCAACGTCATATTGCGTCCGGAAATTTACACAAGCTGTTCATAAATCGTTAAAGAATGGATAATTAATGGATACTGAAAATCCAGGCTGTTGTGTTTGGCTAATAAGTTTCAAGAAATCTTGCAACGAAAGGGTGAGTAGAATTAAATAATTAAAGCACTCAATTAAGATGATCAAATAAGATTTTCTTGTGCATAATTTTGGAAAGCACAAATCAATTTGTAAACTTTAAACTTGTATGCCTCGAGATGAGCCAAAATATTTAAATAATTTGATAAAATAAACTAAAATTTTAAGAAAGTGTTAAATTGTTCAAAAATCAATAATTTTTATGGTATGTAAATGGCGTTTGCGATGTGTGAATTAGTTTACTTTGTTCCCTTCGCAATATTTTACTTTTAGATACATTCTTTAAAATTTCATTTGAAGATGATGATGATGATGGTTATTATATTGTTATTATTATTATTATTATTATTATTATTATTATTATTATTATTATTATTATCATCATCATCATCATCATCATCACCACCATCACCATCATCATCATCATCATCATCAATCAAACAATCAATCAATCATCATCATCATCATCATCATTTCATTTTCATTATTATTATTATTATTATTATTATTATTATTATTATTATTATTATTATTATTATTGTGATTATGATGATGATAATAATAATGATGATGATCATGATATCATCATGACGATGATGATGATGATGGATGATGATTATTATTATTACTATAAGTAGAAGTAGAAGTAGTAGAAGTAGTAGCAGTAGTAGCAGTAGCAGTAGCAGTATTGTTTTTGAATTTATTATGGTACATTTGTAATAATTATAAAATGATAAAAAGATGACAAATAATGAATGATAAATAATAAATGAAAAGATAATTCTGAGATTTTAGTAATTTATACAGAAAAATGAGTTCTTCTTAAATTTAAAAGAAGCCAGATATTTAACTGCCATCATTTACAGACTTTAAACATTGTGATCAGTGCAGACCACATCCGTCTTCACTGATTCGTTATCCAATCAGTCAAAACGTGAATAATATACCAGTCCATATAAGACTTCACCATGATTTTACGAGTAAAGAACATTGTCTCTTTTTAAAGTTTGCAAGATTTCGAAACCGCTTGCGCCAAACGTATTATGCAAGAAGAGGCAAGACTCTTGACCCTGAAACCCTGCTAAATGAAACAGGTACTGCCGACATGGTCGTCGTGAAGACGGTCAGCAAGTCAAACAAAGTCGTTCCTGAAAACCTGACATCTAAGAATGGTATAGATACTCGTTTGTACATTATGTTTTCTAAAAGAATTCTCACTACAATGTACTTGCAAATTTCAGTGCAGTAATATTTGTTTGACAAGAATTTTAAAGCATTTGGAAAGACAGTATAAAAAGGACAAAAGTAGCAAAATAAAGTCCCATAATAACCTTATATACTTGAACTTCAATAAGTTACCTATATTAGATATAAATATCGAGGATTAAGTTTAAGGATCATTTTCGCATGTCTTAGTTTGTATCAATATACGAATATATACCTAGCAACAATATAATTTTAAAATCTAGCATAAAAAATGTAAAAACGCATTCTTTCCCAGACGATGCTGTTGATACAGAAAATACAACAGTGACAGAGACCGAAGCAGACGATAGACTTGGTAAATAAAGTCATGTATTTTTAACTATTTTTTTTACAAGTTACTTTTTTAATATCTAAAAATAAAAAAAAAATAAAAAAATTGACCACAGCGTTGAAAATGCTGATGTTTTACTCATGTGCAAATGTACTTTAATTAAAAATTAGTCGTTATGTAAACGACAACAACAACAACAACAACAAAAATAAATCCTATTTATGTCGTATTGTGTGACATTGTTCTATATTATATAAAGTAAAGCGTAACGAAATTAAAAATCTTTTTTAGTCGAGGACTTCGTGGCATGCATCATAGACAAGGCAGCCGACACTCTGAGACAGGAGTTGCCTAGCAACACAACCGCCATAACAGTGAAGTCAGCAGACGACAACATATCATTATCCTCCAGTATCATTAGCCGTAAGTCATTTGGTTGATGCATAAGTCAATTGTAACAATTGTAAGATAGTGAGAAGAGCATGGATAATGATTTGATTGATGCATTATTAGTCAATTGCAACAACGTCTGTAGTAGGAAGGGCATGGAAAATTAGTCTAGTTATTGCATTTTGCCTGTCAACGCACTTCCAGCTCAATGCAGTGGTTATGTTTTGCGCCAAAATGAGCGGAAATAAGTGTAAGCAGGTGATAATCCATTCTCAGATATGAAGTGGCAATTCTTGGCAATTTCAATTAACCAATCAAAGTCAAATAGGGTCGTTGTAATGTTTTCATCTTTACTCCTTGACTGCCGGTAACATTTTGCCATCCTATTCCCGCCACTTTTACCACGACCTATTGTCTTTTGTTAAGATAACTTTTATTTTAATTCTAAGTATCATATTTTTGAGTGTACATGGCGTCATTAATTTCTTGACAGAAATTGCTGATATGGCTGTAACGGAGAGTCTGTCAAATATTGTGATGGATGCGGACATTAACCACTCTGCTATTAGAGCTCCTAAAACTGTCAAAGAGTTCAAGGGTAAGAATTTATGTTTAAAGGGACTCGACTGAGGTTTTTTGGCATGACGGGACTGGAAATAATTTTTCGAGATTGATGTTCCATCTGATGTAGTTGTAGACCAATAACTCGTGTGCAACATTTCAAATTTTTCGCTTACTCTTGTTTGTCCAGAATAATTATTCTACTTGTTAAAAACGACAAAAAAAAGAAAAGCGTTGCACTCAAATTGGGCTGAGAACAGCACAAAAAATACGATTTCCAATTTATTTCTAGGTGTATTTCTTAATTATCTTTTTGCATATCTTATTATTTTAATTTCCCAAGGTGATTTTTGTTAAAAATTCAAAATTTATTCACATCAGTGGAATTCCTTTAATATTTTGTAACAAACCAAAAAATATTCGCCAATACAATACAGTGGAGCCTGTACTAAAATAACTTTTTATTTATAATATTATAATGAAACGAAATAGGCGTCGGATCGAGCCAAGAGGAAACCTTCTCTCAGGCTATTATTTTTTACAATACCTGATACATTGAACTCATAATATGAAAAGAAATCGTTCTATTTATTCATATATTTTTTACAGAAGCATTTGGCATAACCGGATATGACGACATTGATGATGGCCTTCCACCTGTAAGCGTGTAAGGTGAGGTTTTAGAGCTAAGACATATTATTTGTTTTAAATCCGATCTTGAAAAAGGTTGAAATGTTAAAGTTAAAGTTAGGACAATACTACTTTAGACATACTCGTATACAAAATCTTACTAATTAATGTCAGAAGCTGAATTTTTACGTTTTACTAAAATGTACTTGTATATATCACACGTCGTTACCATGCTGACTTTGATTTGGCTCTGAAGATCAAGGGACATACAGTTTAAATACTCGGTAAAGGGTACTTTCTGACCATGTCTTAAAATATACAAAATTAAATAAATACATTTCCCTGATCGATTCTAAGAGAAAGCCCTTTGTTACTAAATGCGCACTCAATTTGGTTCCTTAATTTCAGAGTACAAGAAGAAGAAAGAAACAACGTATATTTTTGTTTGTTTGTGTGTTGCTTGATTTTGTTTTTCTTCGTTATTTTTTTTTTCTTTGTGAGTGTTTTTTCCTTTTTTACTGCTTTGCTTGTTTGTGTTTGTTTGTTTTTTTTGTTTTTTTTTGCTTTCTTTTTTTCTCGTTTGTTCTGCTTAGGCATCGATTTAATATTATTCTTATTGTTGTCATAAAAATGTTCTGTATTTTATTTTCACCAATAAAGTCCATTGAAACATTCGCTCGTGTATATTTTCTGTACGAAATCTTCTGTGTCATAGTATTATTTTAACAATAGGTTTATCTCTTAGATTTGGTTTGCTAAATTGCTAATCATGGTCATGCAACTACATAGTTAGGTGAAGAAGCAGGCGCTTGTTTTGGTTGGGTCTATTATGTTTTGTTTAGGGGGTTGAGTTGTCATACACAAATTTACAATTTATATGCATTTATTTTTTTCCAATGATTGTTATTACCTTAAATGCTTCTGGAATTGTTGTTTTATCAATTCATTTGTAAATAAGATTGTAATATGTCTATTAACGGAATAATTCTAATGAACACGAAATTAGTTCACACCTACATGTGTATTGGTAACGTGATGGTTTAAGCCAATGAAAACAGGTCAATATTATTATACTCAGGCAGAGAAAAAGTGTGCAAAGAGTAAATCGATAATCTTTATGTAGCCAGCAAACTTTGAATTGCAAGTATTTTTTTCATATCTTTTCGGCAGGATAAACTGTCCGAGGAGGGCCAGGCATTTCGTATCGTAAAATGGCTGCCATTTACAGTATCAAGTGATTATCCCAAGCACCACCGCGACTTAGCGCGGGAATTTTAATTATAGCTAACATCGGCGCGTTTACCTTTTTCATATTCTATTGTAATAAATATTTACAAACTGTGTCTTTCGTGGTTTTTTTATCAATATATAACCAATAATGATGTTAATATGAATAAATAATCATATCTCAAATCTTTGACTATGATTTACAATGAAATTCTACCTTAAGTGTATTAAAAAGGTTTTTAATTTCCTGTAATTTTATTTTGTGATTATGCTTCAAAGCAGTCAATTGACCGTGAATTTTCTTTTCATATTTTGATTTCCTCGAAATCATTTTTCTCATCTGAAGGCATGCAACTTTAATATGGTGATACATTAATTACATTCCATGAAAATGTTTAAAGATATAAAATATCTCATGACATGTTTGTTCATTTTACATTACACCTTTAATTCAGCAAACATAAAGTCTTCACAAAAAGTAGTATGCAATCGTACCTATATTACATACGAATGTATGTTATATTTTTCTTGTTTATTGGTACTCAAATTACGGTAAATTAGTTTTTTCCGGGGCGAAGCCGAATAAATTATTGTCCGTTCAGACGTTCTTTACGTCTGTGAGAAGGCACTTTTGAAGAAAATAACGTTACAAGTAGTTGTGTCCGACTTAATAATTAAATAACAATAATTCTAATTGACAATAAATATATGGTCTATAAATATAAAACTTTTGAAAATATTTACATGGCCTTTAGGCAGTGTATGTTGCTGGCAAATTGTATTCGCACGGAATTTCGTGCACTTATTTCAATCAGACAGAATTCACTTTCGTTTATTGTAAATGATGTTAGAATGGTCTTTTCAAGTTGTGTACTCGTCCAAATATGTTCGCGTATTGTACAATAAAGTGTATGATAACCTATAAATAGTTAACTATTACAATATATGAGTTTCAAGTAAGATTTTTGCCCGTTACAATTTTTAAATGGTTTTATATCATGAATAATATAACACTCAAATTAAGATTCATCAATTTTGTAAGTTCCAAAAAGCATTAATACCGAATTTAACATTTCATGTTAATAAAGGGAGGTAATAAAAAAAATCTGTTTTCTATAAAGTTTAAGTCAATTTTTCAAGAAGAAATGAATGCATATATTTTAATGATTACATATAATATGTTCAAATATTTGCAGTACATATTTTACATATTCTTCGATGTTTGAAAAATTGTTTTATAAACATAATTTTATACATATATATAATTTCACTTAAGTGTGGTATTCAACCTCAACTACAACACACAGGATCTTTAAATATTTTTAGATAGACTATTGCGCAAATAGAAAAAAAAACTGGTAAAGCGAAACTCAAATAAAACTGGCTCTATTGCTAGTCTTTTTTTTTTTTTGCAAATTGTTTTCTTATAAATAAATGGCGAATATCTACTCTAAAATGATCTCCAATCGAAATTATTCCTCGCGTCAACAAGTCTTTCGTCATAGACACTTCTGTTGACATACGGCTGTCGTAAGTTCCTTCTAAGATGATCTTCAACGATGACGTCATTGTATTTTTCATAGAGTTCGGCGTCCTTTTCGTTACCAATGTGGGTTGCAGACGATTTGTTTGTTTCCCTGTTTCTCCCAACTGGTTCCACACGATTATCGTCACAACATATCAAAAAGCATGTGTGAAGAAGAAAACAAATAAAGCCGGTAAACAGAATAACGATTCCGACTAATGTTAGGTACCAGGCCCAGCCATTGGTATACATAATAAGACCGATATCAGCGCCCAATACAACATATGAATCTTCTATTACTATAACCGCTGTTAATATCAGTGCAACTGAAAAGAGAGTACCACATTTCAAATCAAATGAAGTAACTAAGTAAAGTAATGTAAATTAATAAGTGTTGCTTCCGAAGATAGATAGTAATGTTAGAAATTCAGTGTCAATATAATTCGAAAAGCCTTAAAAAAGTCTTAATAAAAACGGAAGAAAGTTAGTGAAGTTCAGGTCGAGTCATGTGTTGTTGAGTTTTACTGTACACGTCAATGGCGGCTGTCCAGGTTTATTGGTAAATACCTCAAATGTACTTACCGCCATAATTTCAATTACCAGCGACACTTTCGTATAAAATAACTTCCTAGCATGTAAAAAATTCAAAGGCCCTGGTGAAATTTGAAATAACAACTGAAAACGAGTGAAAAATGAGACAAAGACAGTGACAACCACTGAACAATGAAAACTTTTTTATGAATTGTGCTAAACTTATTTTTTAATCTTTAGAAATAATAGAGAACCAGAAAAGATACATACTTCCAATGCCAAGGAGGACTGACACCGATATTGCAATGGCCTTATTACCAAGCTCCTTTGCTAGAATACACAGGCCAAGCAACGCCAACAGTAGTATGGACATCCCAGACAGTGAAAGTGCCCACAACAAATCAGACAATTTTGCTACAATATATAAAATAAAAGGGAAAAGCTATTACAAAACACATTCATACGCGTTTACAGTAAAGCATACTTAATCATAATTCTGGCTTCCAAAACTTTATAAGCCGCTTTTGTAACTTTTGTTTCATTTCGTCTGATGCGTCCCGTCACAGTAAAAAAAACGGGTACGCTGAAAACTTTTAGCTAACTTAATCATATCTTTATATGTGAATTGTAGACTTTATTTTACATATATAAGTACATGTACATGTATGTGGGGTCTATACAACTATCCCCACAATGCTTATTGACATATCTTAATATCGGATGCAACTTGAAGAAAAGCATCTTGAAATGCAATTGTCTGTAAACAGATTTAATACATTTTTCCATGCATACCTGTTTTATACATAACATCCTCTTTCTGTGTCGACTCACAATGCTTAAATACCCTGAAACAGCCCACAAACACTCCAAAATGAAGATCCTCAGTCACAAACCAGAATGGCATGAATACACCTATAGTGGTAAGCAAGAAACCTATAAGAGTAATGATTTTGCTGGCCTCGTATAAAGAAGTCATGTCTTTCTTGGTTTTCTTTTATTTTTTTCATCCTGAAAACAGAGTTATGTTGAGTTTAGAAGAGACAAACAAGTCAGATGTAATAAGGTATCTACAAACAAACTGCAGCAGCCTTTGGGTATGTAAATAAACACTGGCCTGTTAAAATAAGAATTCAATAAATCACCGCAGTTCACAACATTGAAATTATTAGAAATGCCATATCGATACCATGCAGGTAGCATACATACAAAAATACGACTGTGGTGGTAATTGTGGTAGCAACAGTAACAAGTTTTTGCATTTTATCCTTTGAATTTCAAAACATATTTAAATAAAGTGAGCTGTGTCATGACAAAACCAACATAGTGCGTTTGCGACCAGCATGGTTCCAGACCAGCCTGTGCATCTGCGCAGTCTGATCAGGGTCCATGCTGTTGGCTTACAAACCATATTACAAGTAGAGAAACTGATAGCGAACAGCATGGATCCTGATAAGACTGCCCGGATGCGCAGGCTGGTCTGGATCCATGCTGGTCGCAAACCCGCTATGTTGGTTTTGTCATGACACGGCTCAAGTAATTATTAGTTGTTTCGTGTCCTGATTAATCCCTTTCATTTTATTTAAATGCGTTTCTTTATATGAGCCGCGCCATGACAAAACCAACGTAATGGGTTTGCGACCAGCATGGATCCAGACCAGCCTGCGCATCCGGATGCGCAGGGTGGTCTGGATCCATGCTGGTCGCAAACCCATTAAGTTGGTTTTGTCGTGACGCGGCTCATATTTTTTTTCATTATTGAAGGATGGGTGTGATTTTAACCGGACTGGTGAAAGAATTGTTTTATGTTGATTGAATTGGCTTTTCTAAGCAATCACTACGATTAAATAAGACTTTTTAGTCCTTGCTAAGAATACTTTATCATAACTAGGCTTTTTTGTTTTCCTGTTAATACTTAATCACAATTTTGAGACTTTTTAAAGCCTTAAACTTTTTATACCTCATAATTACGAGTTCACACAGTACTCTTTTGGACTTTATATGTTCTAATTATTGGTTATTAATGCATAATTTGGAGAAATTTAGTCTTACTAAGTAATTACCAACTTGTGATTGGTGTTTTGTTAAGTCCCAATTTTGCGTTTGTAATTCTGAGGAGTTAGTCTAAATAGGGATAAAGTAAGTTCACATAAGTACTTTTAAGTCCTAATCTGGAGTTTTTAATGTCCTACTTAGGTATTTAAACTCATAAAAAGTATGTCTAATAAGGAGTACCAATCACTCCTGGTTAAATGTTTTAATTGGATTTTAACAGTTTTTGGTAAAGTACATCAATACGTGTAGGGGCGTCCGTGGCCGAGTGGTTAAGGTCGTTGACTTCAAACCACTTGCCCCTCACCGCTGTGGGTTCGAATCCCGACAGGGACTTTTGATTCTTTCATGTGAGGAAGCTATCCAGCTAGCTTTGCCCGTTCGTGCCTGAAATAATGCACGAAAGGGCACCTGAGGTCTTCCTCCACCAGTAAAGCTGGAACGTCCCGATATGACATATACTGTGTCGATGTGACGTAAAACCCAAAACAAACAAACAAATAAACAAATCAATACGTGTCACGAGGATGCCGAATGAACAACCTAATAATAAAATCAGATTTATCAATCTTAGGTTAATTAAATTTTATTTATAGATAACTCAGTGTCTAATCTATGCTTCAAAGTAGGTTTCTATATAAAGCTTTGTGTAAGCGGTTAAAAATCGCAAATGGAGCTATCACTGATAAACTTAAATGCTTCTACACAAAGCTGAATTTTAGTTAAGTGTTTTCGTTAACTGAAATGACATTTTAAATTGTTAAAAAAAAAGCAACTCCTATTCAAAACCCCCCACAAGTGATACAACCATAAAATCAATAAATCTTGATTCATTTTGTCAATCAGCAACAATGTATTCGTCTATGTCGGTAGAATATTCAAAGGTTTGCATTTTTATCTGAGAAACATGCATAACTCCAAACGATCTTACATGTTAGAATGCACAAACTTTCGAAAAGTGTTTATGTTCACACAATACAATGCCTGGCGATTATATTCCGGTCGATCATTATTCTGGCAAGTAATCTTAGTTCAGGAAAAGTATACATATCACGTCTCAATAATTGAAAAAAAATAAATATTTTTTTCCATTTATCTTCTGTAAAATCAACGAATAAACTAAATCAGTCACAATACCTAGTAGATGATACAGTTGGTTTCCATACATATTAACTTACATATACAATGAATAGATCCCCTTTAATCAAAGTGTTTTTATCACCAATTTATGCGGCTTAACGAATATTTTTTTCATAAAAATGTTTCGACGTTAAATTGTTGTTAAACAACAACAACTAAAAGCAACACTTAATATGGATATAGAAAAGTTATGAACACTATGGTACATTTATTGTTTTATTTAAGAGTAAAAAAAAATATATATAAAATCGGTATATTAGAAACAAGACAGTTATATCTCCTGGAAATTTCTTGTTATTTTGTATTGCTACAAAAATATTTTTAAGAATTATAAAAACATTTGTATCATTTATATAAAAAATATAAAGGAACGCGCACATGTTTATGTAAAAACCTAAATTTGCCTATATTCTACACGTCGCCATCAGCAATTCGCAACATGTACAGAATCACATGAAACCAATAAAAAATACGATGATTTTCTAACAGTCAGAATGTATTTTCAAAAAGAGCTTTGAGCCGCGTCACGACAAAACCAACATAATGGATTTGCGGCAAGCATGGATCCAGACCAGCCGCGTAGTCTGATCAGGATCCATGCTGTTCGCTTACAGACCCTATAACAAGTAGAGAAACTGATAGCGAACAGCATGGATCCTGTTCAGACTGCGCGGATGCGCAGGCTGGTCTGGATCTATGCTGGTCGCAAACGCACTATGTTGGTTTTGTCGTGACGCGGCTCATTTAATGAGGCTTTTTACACAAGTCTTGATTGTAAATAATTACATTTAATGTCCACAAGACACTGGTCAAATGTCTATCAAACGTAAAAGAGATAAGAAGTTGGTAAATAACGAAGTTTACTGAACTAATATACAGAATAAAAATCATTTTCCTTCTTTAAAAGTAATCAGTGAGAATAATTAACTGTAGAACTAGGATTTAAAATTACTTCTATACTTACATGACGTAGTCATATTAAAATTATAATATCCCATAAATTTTTAAATAATTAAAAAAAAATAATGAGAAATAATATACCGTTTGGCGCGTTTCTTATCTAAAATTAATCGTTATCTAAAGAAACGGCCGGCTAATTTGCCCGTATTCTGAATTTTGAAAATAGCGTTTGAATTTATTTGAATTTATTTGAATGAACATGTTGATTGTTCGTGTTTACACTGAGCTACAAAAGTTTGTCGAAATGTGAAAAGTTTAAAAGCTTTGCATCTCGTCAGGTTTATAAATCAACAAAATTTAACTTGATGTTGAATTATTTCAACTTTCCTAATTTGATAGAGGAACACAATGGATCATAATTATAATTTCTCATTCTCCTTTTCGTATGTCTGTACGTTTTTATTTCGTATATGATACATGTTTTAATAAATTTTCTTAGGGGGGGGGGGGGGGGTTACGTCACATCGACACAGTATAGGTCATATCGCGACATTCCAGCTTTGCTGGTGGAGGAAGACCTCAGGTGCCCTTATTTCAGGCACGAACGGGCACCTGAGTAGAACCACCGACTTTCCGTATACTAGCTGGATAGCTTCCCCACATGAAAGAATCCAAAGTCCCTGTCGGGATTCGAACCCACAGCGGTGAGAGGCAAGTGTTTTGAAGTAAACGACATTAACCACTCGGCCACGGACGCCCCCTTTATAGAAATTTAAATTACGAATTGTAAAAAAAATCATGATTAATTTTATTAAATATACATGTATTCTTTGTATATTTTTTTCTTTTCCTTTCTACCTTTTCAGTGTACTGTACATAGGAATTTAATTTTAGCTAATAGTAATGAAGAAAGTGTGTAAAAATAGTTCACTGAATTATAAATATGTCACTCATAGAAAGAGAAATGAACCAATAAGATATCTTAGAGCGATTGTCTATCATTGTCAGATCAGGTTAAGTGCTGTTCATTTAAAAGGTTAAAGAATTATACATTTTAAGATAAAGAGAAATGCCATTATAAAGTATGCGTACAGAAGGCAAATTCCCGTGTTTCTAGGTAGCAATATGTCGGACTGCAATGAGATTTTTTTTTATTTATATTTTCAAAAAAAGTTGCTCATTGTTCAATTACCTGATCCTTCTCTGGCAATAAGTACAGTTATAGTTATTTTTAGTATTTTGTATGGAAGTCAAAATACATCTTTGTTTATATTTTGCTACTTTAATGAAGAATATTTTCACATTCAGCACTACTTTCTCCAGGAGATATGCACCTAACATTCTCTGAAACCATTAACTAAACGTTATAAAACTCATATGTGCCCTTTTTTACAGAACGCAACATTTATTCGTTTCTGAATCATAATGTGCCTTTAAGTAAAGTCGCGTGATTTTCTTATACATGTACATGTGCATGTAATTTTGAATTCCATGATTAGACTATATATAAATGGTAAGATATATAAAGGGAGGGAGACATAGATAGTATAAATGTATTCATGATTGATTTTCTGAAATCAGGAAAAAAAGAAATTCAAAATCAACATACATGTATATGAGCGTAAAACAAGTGTGCCTGTGTCTGTTTGCAACTTTTTCTTTCTTTTTCTTTTTTTTTACATTAGATCGGCACATATGAAGAGGGCGTTTTGAAATATACATGTAGACTAAGAAAACTTGTAAATATTTATAATTGGGGTGAATATTACAGAGTGGGTAGAGCTTCTACTTTATTAAATGTTATACTTAAGGTAATACTCACACAGTTATGAAAGCCTATAGGCTTCTTGTGGTAAGCATAATACTAGCGGATAGGTGTATAACTAAAGCTTTATATACCTTTTTGGAGGAGAGGTCTAATGCTTTAGTCGTTTTCACATTAAGGTAAACATTACTAACCCCGCACGAGTAATAGGGGAATTACCCACTGATCAATATAAATGGGCACATTTAAATGAAATGCAACTCCATATCAGGTATACAGCTAAACCTTGTGCATTTTTAAGTTTCTACAGGCATGCATATGGTTTAAAAAGTTTTTAAAAAAATTCTTAAAACTCATTTATATATCGCGGTAGGGGGCTGTATTCATTTTATTTCTCAATAGGTCTATTAGATCTAATTAATTATTATTACTGTAACATTTTTTTCCATTTTTTCTATTATTTTTTTATCAACTTAAATATAGAAATAGAGACATTTTTGTGTCCAATATAGCCGATTTAGAATCCAACTGTTTATATGCATGCATAACATTACTGGAACTTCATTATCCAAAATTAATTTCAATGTATTTTTGCAAGTCTGGTGAATTCAGTTCCGTAAGTAAGAAAAATTCTGGTGTACAGTAACGTACTCAGTTTATTTTTGAGAAGCTGAAAATAAGCTGGGAACGTCTGAATATATACGCTTTAAGTATATTGATAAAGCTAGAAATATAGGCCTTCTGTGAATAATTCAGTGCCGATATTTATCTCGTGCTGCTTTGACGTCAATAGAATCCCGTAGGTCCTTTAAAATTAACGCTACACTTACCTGTATATTTAATTATTCAAACCTTTAAACAAACAACAAAAACAGGGTTGTATTCACGTCTATGATATAATGTTAAATTTTTAGTTTAAGTAGAATAAGTTGGCATTAAAACGTTAACAGGCTATACAGTATCTCACTATGTAGTACTGAGAGCGCATAATAATTTCACGACTTAAAATAATTATGACACCGGGTACCTGCTGTCGCATGGCTACATGTAAACACTTTGGTTCAAGAGAGGTCAGTTGTTCCGTTAGGATGGAAGGAATGTATTGATTTGCGGACGGATTTACTTCAGACGTGCATGTAACATTTCTTAAATACAAGGTACATGTTTAAAGCTTATTTAGTTTTAGTTTAATATACAATCTATTTCAATGAAAATTTAGGATAAAAGAAATTTCGGATAAAATGTTGACTATTTTTCGGATAAACGTGCTTATGTTTATAATGTAATCATAATGAATGAGTCAAAAGAACATTGTGGAAGTTCATAGATTTTTTGAAAACATTAAGTAATATAAATAGAGGTATGCTAATTATAATTCTATGTGTTGAATAAAGTGAAAAGTAATGCAAGGAAATGCGGCCAATTATCATTTTATATTACATGTATGTCAAAAATTTTGTAGACATACATTTACAGAACGTTTACCTGGAATAGACCCTATGTTTATTATCACTGTCTAAATTTAATACAATAATATACTACAAATATTGAATGAGTCTAGTGAGTCACAGTCTACTATGTCTAGACTCCTGGTTATGGTACACAGGGTCTAATGAAGAATTTATTAAAAGCGTTAACATGATTCTTAAACTGTTGAATATTAATTTTGTAGAATGATCTAAAAAAATCTAAATTCATAAAATAATTCAGTTGTGTTTTATTACAGAATCAGTATTGTTTTACTTTATAAATTGAGATCAAATCATTGGTTTAGAGTGTATATTTGTAGTCAATATTTTAACATTCACATGCAAAATTGTCATCAAGTAATTGATAGTGCCAATTTAAGTTGTAACACAGACTGCCACTTGATTTAGCATCTTTAAATATTGCTGTTACAATTTTTTAAATTTGTAACAGACATTCATTATATAATAATTTGATGATCTGATCTTTCCCTGTGACGTGTTGTAGGGCTGCAACGATACACTAAATGTTCGATTCGATTTCGATTTTAGACACTCCGCTTCGATTTTTTTCGATTCGATTCTGATTACTAATTTATCTTTGGTGTATAATTCTGCTTGTCTGCTCCAAAAGTGAGTGGCCTTCAACCTAGTGCTTTGCTTTTCTGTTGTAATATAACTATTATATAAACTTATTTGACTTAATAATTGTGTTTATGAGAATAAAAAGCTCTTGTCTTTTTAGAAATAATTTTAATCAGGCAAATAATCATTCATCTCAGTTACATGACTATCACAGATACCTTCTGCTGACTAGGAATTTAACAAAGTATGTAAATTTTAATGTAAATAATAATGAACATTGAACAAAGTTTCACAAGGTTGTCAGAACTGATAATTCAGATATTCTGTTTATAATTCCCATAATATGTAAAATGAATAATCAATCCTAATGTCAGTGTTGTCACACAATACTTCTTAGTCTAGTAAACAATACAGAAGAAATGAAATTCATGAAATTATCACCTTTTTTCACACTTGACTAAGGAAATAATAATCAATCCCAATACTTACTGAAGTACTAATCAAACTTATTTTGGGAAGGCCAGGACACGGATAAAGTTAACCAAACAAGTCCACATCGTGTTTTCGTTTCATTGTTGCATTAAATTAGACGTACTGTCGGACTTTGGATATGACACGTCCGTAAAGCATATTTTGCAAGTAGCTTAATCCGTGTCCTGGCCTTCCCGAAACCCAAAGTGTTCGCAAACCTTTGATTTAAATTTTTTAGGAGGATTTTTTAATTTTATTTCATCAATATTTATGTTGATAGCCATTTTGATTTGTTTACCGAAAATAAAACATTACGCGCCCACTGATTGGATGACTGAGTTTTAACTGGCCAATCGTATGCAACGTGATAAAGCGCGAAGGGAAAGACTAAAACTCTCACTTTTTTCCATGTTTATTTTTGGGTGGGGAATCGAATCGAAAATGCTGTAGTTGGTATCGGGAATCGAATCGGCGCTCATAAAACCGGTTTTCGATGCATCGAAAGGTATCGTTGCACCTCTAACGTGTTGGGACATTATATGGATGCATGTATAATAATGATATTAGCTTAAATCAAATCCATTAATAATTGATTCTACCTTACTGAGAAAGGTGAAAGAAAATTTATTTCTGAATTTCTGATTTACAATGATAGTATAGTTTGATAGTTTGCTACATTATAAATCACATTACAGCAGTGTTCGAAATTAGCAGAAGTCCGATAGCCCCTGACTACTAAATTTCTCCTCGGGCTACCAACTTTTCACATTAACAAGCCCGACCAGGCTACTGTATTTTCAGAGGCAATATAAACAACTGTTTTGAACAAATGAATCGTGCTAGTGAAATGTCTTTTGGGCTAGTGAATATTCCAATCTGGTAGTCCGACCAGCCTTGTTGATTCAAATCCTAATTTCTTACACTGGTAAATTACACATATTAATTCTATTTGGAGATACAATTTGGGGCAAGTAAATATCTATACAGTAGTCCTAATTTCATTAGAATAGAGATAATGATTGGTTGTTTGTTAGTATTGTTATAGCCCGTAACTAATTTGATATGCAAATGTGCAATTGTTTGAATAATTGATAGGAGCAGGATTAGCTTGCAGTCAATAAGATGAACTGATATGGCTGATAAGGACAGTTCAATATATACATTCATCATCACATTTCTGGATAGAAGTTCTTGTTTTCAAATTAAAAGTCAATTCTGATTTACATGTGTCAATTTTAAACCATTGCTTGAGGTATCTCTCTTAAAGTTAGAAACTGCATATCAACAAAAATTAATACTTTACTTATTGTTGAAAATTAAGATTACACATCAGTTCCATTGCAGCTAAATTACTGGGTGTATTGCAGTTATATTTGTGAAACATTTTGTTCCTGATTTTTAATATGAAAATCTGTAGACAAAAATTATTTTGCTTCTTTGTTTATGTTAGTTTTATCATATGGTATTACATTAGATCATACTTTGATTGTGTTCATTTTCATAAATTGCGATAGACCATAGAAATTTTATCATATTTTGATAGCAGACTTTTCTTTTCAGACATCGCATGAGGTAGGAGGTTATGAGTAGAATCACAATGGAGAGAAATGGTCCTATGCAGAATGGGGCTTCCCGCATACCTCGCTTTGATCATAGTATCAGAAACAATGCCAATTCAAATGCATTTAATAGTCAGCAGCCCTTGCCAAGTCTCGGTTCAAACAACAAACCATCTAAATTGGAACAAATGCAAAGAGATTATCAAAAGAATATTATTAAAGAAAAAGAAGAAAAAATAATAACAATGTATGAAGAGAATCAAAGAAAAGCTCTGAGCAAAGTTAATCAGAAAAAAAGTCATTTAAGGGAATTTTTTAATGAAAGAAGAACAGGAAGTAGTGGGAGTCTAAACTCAACAACACCGACCATGGAACAACTTTATCATCAAAAGAAACTAGAAACTCAGTCTGTGTCACCACATACTTACCAAGGGTATAATGGTCCTCTTAGAAATAAACCTGTTTCAAATTATCCAAATTACAATAGAGGCAATCTTAATGAAAAGAAAGCTAGTGCAGGACGTGATAGAGGTAACCTTCTTGCCCCTATTCAGCGTGACAATTCAGATTCTGAAAACCCTTTTGCAAAGCGAAAGGCTCAGATTGTGAGACCAAGAACTTACAAAGGTGTTCAAAATAGAAGAGACTATCCTGAAAACGATAGAATACCAAAAAGTGCACCAAATGGGATTAATAATGGTTTTCTAAATGATAACAATGAAAACATGGAAGAAGATAGTCCTTTACCAAGTACACGACAGTTTCAGCATCTTCAACAGAAAAGAAAGATGTTACAAGATCAGAGACAGAGCAATAAGGCTCGCACCCAACAACTGAACACCCGAAAACCTCCACCAAGAAGAAATGGCAATTATGAATACGAGACTTCAGAAGAAGACGAGGGTTTCAATGATGAATCAGGTAGTAACTCTACCGAGGATGACATGAAGAAGAAACAGCAAGAACTGTTGGCTCAGATAGAGGCGCAACAAAGAGAACTAGAAAAGTTGAGGAATGACAGAATGAATGCTGAACTAGCGGTATGTAACATGGTAGTTAATTATTATCAAACATGGAATCATATATTTACTTGATCACTTACAGTTTTTGACAATTAAGCACTTCTTGATATCATATACAAAATTAAGTTTCATCATCCCCATTAAATCTTCACACTTAATACTTGAATAGACTTTTTAATTTTACAACTGAACAAAACTATTATGTCCAATTGACTAACGTACAATTATAAGACTGACTGAATACAGAAACAGTGCAGTCCATAATCAGACAGAATGGATCCAGGTCAGCATCTGTCATCAGCAGGCTGAAGGGCATCTTTAATAGACTTTACCATCATTTACTAAAGCAACATATTCCTATGGATTAACAAATTGTTTTGTAGCAATGACCTAAGAAAGAAAATTTTTGCTGCATTTAATCTCATTTAGTTAAAAACTTGAAATTAGAGTTCATTATTTAACCTTTATTTCCCTGTAACCTGATACCTGTCTATGTAAATTACATTTGTTGTTAAGTTAATTGACAATCAATGAATTTATATTGGACCAGTGGAGTCTATATGGAGTGTTACATATTTTATGACCATTGTGGCTGATTTCTGACTGAAGTTTTGATCCCACTAGACTTTTGTTACCAGTATGTAACAGACATGCATGAAAGTTTTGTATTAATGAGAACCTTTGAGAATTTTCAGAGAATTTTCCTTAAGGATTTCTCTTCATTAAAAGTCAATAAAAGTACATGTAAAAAATAGAAAATATATTTGAATGTACCTATGATGATTGCTTTAAATTGTTCAGGGAAAAAAGGAATATTATAATAACTTAATATTAGATGGCAAACATATTTTTAGTTAAAGGGTAATTAGAGGTCTGAGCTATATCTTATGAAATGATGATGAGCAATTTCTTTTGTTATAATTTGTGGTTTAATGCAGTAAGTAAGAAGGCATTGGCTTTTAAGCATTTTATTATTTATTTATTTAAAAACTGCTAAATAATAAAACTATTTGATAGCATCATGATACTACATGTATCATTTAAAACTTCTTTTTGTTTCAAAATTAAATGTCATTTTTTGGGTGGGTCAGGGGAGGCTGTTGCAGGCCCATATAATTGTAGCATTGTGTTAAATTTTGATTTACCTAAGTATCAAAACACAATATGTACTTCAAGATTTTTGTTTTATAATTGATACCTCAGAACTGGTCAAATGTAAAAATATCAAATTTAGGATAATTATTTTCATTCTGGTATCTATGAATACAACAGACAAAATATAACTTCAACACTTTAATACCTTGACAGTGACTAATTATAATATTTGTTGAAAACTTGAAGTAAGCAAATAATTCTCTGATTTTAATGACTTAAAACTGTTCAAGTGTTTGTTTACACTCATGATTCCGTTTGTTTATCATATTCAACTGTTTTGTATTCAACTTGAATATAATCAGCGTTACAATCAAACAGACACCTAAATGTAAGAAAAATCCATGCGGAATAAACTTAAGCTTGATTTAATGATTGTTTAAAACTCCTTGAAAAGATTTTAATCGAAAAAAACATTACCAAAGTGTGATGTTACGCCCAATTTATTTAAATTTGTGAAAAACTTTGCTCAGCCTATGTACATGTTTATCACAAAGAATTATTTTTAATTTTTTAGACATCTGTATTATGCAAAGGTGACTAAAAGTTTTGACATCATGATCAAACATTTTAATCCTTGGATTATGTATAAATATACAAATGTAGACATGTTGTTCAACATTACTGACAGAATTAAGTCATAAACTGTAATATGTAACAAAGGTTATGATTAATTCTAGGATTAAAAGCTTGATTAAAGGTCATTTGGAAATCATTAAAAGACTTTTATATATTAACTAAACAGCTTTAAATTTTGCTTGCTTATAATTTATATTTTAAAAAAAACAAAAGAAAAAAAAACATTGACCTAAATATTAAATAAAATTGTTAAATTTATGTTTAATTTACATTGTACTACAAGATTACAGCAATGCCAACAATTTTTTATCATTAATCAATTTCACTGTCTATGAACCAAGTTTCAGATTAGGTAATGGTAAAGATTTTTTTTTAGAATCAGAATTATTTTTCTTAATCCTGAATTCCTGTAAATGTTCCAAGTATATGTCATTGAAAACTTTTACGTTCTATTTCTATTTTAAGTTAAATTTGGACTTAAATTGACATTTTATTTAAGTATTATTTTACATTATATTATTCATATCAAATTATTTATTGTTTGTGTATCATATGTCATGTTTGTTATGATGTATGATTTTTCAATGAATGGGGTTCTCTATTTCATGTATTTGTGGACATGAAATAAAAATAAAAATTTAAAAGAATATTTTAAGCATAATGAACATTATATCACCAGTACTATTTTTAAAGTGGCTTACCTCCAGATGTATAAAATTATTATCACAAATTCAAATTAATCAAACTCAACAAACTGATATTTTAAGAAATATATAAACATTTTAAGTCAAGATGAAACTTTTTACCTTATAAGTCTCCTGACGGTGACTTTGGAACCTTATAATTCATGTGACCAGTGCAGACCAAGCCCAGCCAGTACATCTATGTCATCTAATCGTGGTCTGCACTGTTCAGTCAGTATGTTTTTGAAATGTTCCTGAAAAATGCTGAATTTTATTGTCCAGATTTAAAGAAGGTAAAGTTCATGAGTGTTTCAATAGCTTTCGACACAAATTAGAATAAATTAGTATGTATTGCTTTAACTAAACTAATAGTTCTAATTGCATGTCAAGGGTTGAAACAGGTATATATGTGAGCTCTTCTTTGAACTTATATTTATTTTGTAGGAAAAGAAAGAGTTAGAGCGAAGAAGAAAGTTAGAAGAGGAGAAAAGAAAGAAAAGAATAGAAGAAGAGAGAAGGAGAGAAATAGCAGAAGAAGAAGAAAGAGCCAGGCAACTGTGGGAAGAAGAAAAGCAGCAAAAACTTTTGTCAGAAAAGAAAAGAATGCGTCAAATTTCCCAGAGTTCTCATGATTATGATAGTAACTATGGAAACAGTAATAATTATAATGACAGGCAATCCACTGCTTCACCTGAATCACAATATCATTATGAGAAAACACACACACCCGTAGCCCCACCTAAACCTAAACCCAATAACACAAGGAAGCCTGCCCCTAGAAAACCGCCCCCTAAAGCTAGGTCACCCAGCCCCCTCCCGTCAGGTGATCACACAGCTCTTTATGACAATGCTGATCATATGGAAGGTGCATTTGAAAATGTTGGTCGTCTGAAAGCTTGTTATAATTGTGGGCGTAAGTTTGCAGAAGATCGTCTGCCAAAACATGAACAATCTTGTAAGAACATTACTAAGAAGAGGAAAGTGATGGATCCAACTAAAGTTAGGACAAGAGGTACGGAGCTTGAGCAGTATGTTGGGCATAGACAAAAAACGCCTCCAAAGGTAAAAACATAAGCTTTGCATCTGCAAAAGTTTTTTAACATTTCATTCTAGTTCTTGGAGACTCTTTATGTTAAGGAAAATTTTACAAAATTTCAAAAAAAAAATTTACAAAATATCAAGGAAAATTTTACAAAATTTCAGTAAGAAAATGTTATTATGTATATTTTTAAAATAATTTGATTTTATTGATCATTTTATCAGCACAAGCCTAAGAAGCCCACTAACAATTATAAATACTGTATCATTGTTGCAAGGATATTTTTAATGCCCATGATTTATATGATATGAAGATATTTGCTTCAGACTATATCGAAGAAAGTCTAGCAAGATTACATTGCTGTGTTCATATAAACATTTACAGTATAATTTTTCTAAGCATGAATTTTGTACTGACTTATAAAGAACATTAAAAACGTTTTTTGCGATTTTTCAGACAAAGAAAAATAACTGGAGATCTAAACACGAGAGTTTCATGCAGGCTATAAAATATGCTAAAAAGGCGAGTCAGATTGAGAGGGAAGGTGGCAGTCTTGCCGACTTGCCGCCACCACCTCCATCAGAAAATCCAGACTATGTGCAATGTCCTCACTGTTCGAGAAAGTTCAACGAGTCGGCAGCTGAGAGGCATATACCTCATTGTAAAAACACGAAAGCAAGAGCTAAACCACCTCCACAAAGAAGAAGATAAAAACGTTATTAATTTTTTCTTCTGAAAGAAGTAAAAACTAAATTTGTTCTTACGAAACTTGAAACATTTGTAAACAAATTTTTTATCTTTATCCATTACTTAAGATTGTAAAAACACCAAAGGGAGAGCAAAAACACCTCCATGCTAGAGAAGATAAAATTGTGTTCAAATTTTTCTTTTCTGACATTAAAAACTAAATTGTTCTTACGAAACTAAAAAAATATGTAAACCAAATTTTGTTATTGCATTCAGAAAGTAACCTGTTCATGATTTCAAAAAAAATAATTTTGTAAAAAAAGAAAATAGAAATTAAGCCGATTTCAATTCATTGATGTAATATTTCAACAAATTTATACATAGTGCAGTAATCATTTAACTCCTATAAAATCATATAAGGAGTTAACCTGTTACCGCTTTAAGGTGATGATATGCAAATGTTCATAGGTATGTATGTGGATTTGTTTTATCCATGACTGTTGCTGAAATTTGCTTTAAATATCAAGAAGATATTTAGATTTATTGAATATTTTCAAGTGAATATAAAAATTCATTATTTTCTTGTATTTTTTAAGTAAAATTTTTTAACAGTGCATTTATATTGATATTTCTTTTGTTAATTATGTCACTTTAGAGAGTTTTCTTTTTTAGAGGCAAATATTTTATTGCAATATGTATAGGTGATGTTCTAAGTTAATTATATTTTAAGGCAATTAGAGTTTTGTTCACTCAATTACTATTTTTCCAATCAATGTGTCGGCTCTTTTGCAGGGATCTCTTTCTGTTTGTTTTCCTGTCTTGTTGTTTTTTTGTTTTATTTTGAAACTGTTGTTTCTTTGTTAATTTTCTGAACTATTACATTAGACTAAAGTCTTTAAAATCATATTTTCCTGTTTCCATTTTCAAATATATAATATATGTATCACGTGTATTTTTCTTTTTCAATTTCCAGTTAAAGATTATAAATTGTTATTTCAAAATTAACATTTTCATTTTTCACTATATATCAATCACTTTTGATATTATTAAGCTGGAAATTCACAGTCTTCCCATATATTTTAAATTTACTGCTCAGAGTCAATAGTTATTCTTGCCACAACAAAATATACAATCATTTAGTTTTATATGATAAGGAATTGTTTAGAAATCTGTGTATATGTATTAGGTTAATTCCAGTGACATATCAACACTTTTGAGCTTTGACCATCATAATTGTATCCCATTAAAAAACAACTACAACTATTTTGCATATGCATGTATGCATGAACAGTTTTAATCACCCCGCACAGGGGCTCTGCCGGGATGTAAGTGAGACTTTAGCTTAAAGCATTAAGGTTTTCATAATATCTGAGATATAAACATAATTATGAATTAGATTAAATATACTATGGCTTTGTATTCTAGACTACATTTATTTTATCTAAAATTGTATAAAAGGAATAAAAGGAGAAACTTCTAAATTGATTTCACACACAGGCCCTAAGATCTGATTGTAAAACGCTTTATACAAATAGATATAAACTTTTCAAAATGCTAAGTATATAGATCTGTAATTGCAAAGCCTTTGACACCAGTACAGAGACTTGCATGCAGTCAGACCACGCTTTAAACTGTTTGCTAGCATGTATGTGTTTTAAACCTAATAAGGGTCTATCCGCCCATTCAGGCACTGAGAGTATGAACCCCGGACATATCACCAATCATGTACTTAACTGTTAGCTGACCAACTTCAACATTTTCATTAATTCATTGATTATGGACGGATCCAAAATTAAAGTTGGACAAGTCCATTTGGAAATTCAGGTGATTCAATTTGTTAAGTAATGAGGAAGAACTTGTAACGTAACTTTTTATGTTGAAACAATTTATTTAGGTATAGCTGTGACGTCATTAGTTTTATTGACATCTTTAAGTGTTTCTTTAATTTAATTGATGTCAAGGTGATGAAATAATTAACCATGAATATATTCCTTAATAAGATGTGTTCATACAATTGTTTACTTGTTCATTTATGTCATTGTAATTTCTCAAATGTGTTATCCGTCCAATATAATTTATGTTTAAAAAATATATGTGCTGCCTCATTCAAGTAATGTTCCTTTTTTCTTATTATTAATATTCAATATACATGTAATTTGTGTTAATAGAATTGGATTTTTTTATATGTGCTGTCTTATGTAAAGTGCAGTAATTTATGTATAGATTGTGTATATTCATTTTTTTTGTCTCCAGAGGTTGAATCTGATTTGTATATGCCTGCCAATTTATAAGTGATAAAGTATAAAATATTTATAGAACATTGTTTTTATAGAACCAGCGTTTTTCTTAAAGGCACATTATGCTTTAGAATTAAATCGATTTTAGTTCTTTTGAAATAGCACATATGAGTTTTTCCATAAATAAGTATTGTGTATTGTATTAATTTCTTTTTTTCTTTGTCAAATGTGATAAAAAAAACAACTTTTAGTCAAATGAACTCAAAGAAGTTTATTTAACATTTATGAAAATATCTGATATGGTGTAGCTTTTGAATCTTTGTTAATGAAGTCTCAGAGCAGTGTTGTTATTTTATACTTGTACACTGCATATTGGTTGATTTTATTACTGTAATCATTAATTACTGTGAGTGTTGTACTTGTAGATTTGTATTAAGAATTTAGATAAGTTGATTGGATTAAATTGTTCCTAACTCTTGTTTTCTTCAGAATACTGTAAGGAAGAATTTATAATAATTTAGTTCACTGCCACATGTTGTCTTGCACATTGTTATAGCCAATTGGTTTAATTTTTATTTTGTTTAGAAACTTAATGGAACAATTCGTACATGATTTACTTTAAATCTTCTTGCTCTTTGGCTTAATTATAGTAGACTTGTCCATTTTTTGATCTGGACAAAATCGGTTTCATCTTCTTTAGGGGAAAATTTCAAAATATGGATTGACTGAATAGTGAACAGTGCAGACCATGATCAGACTGCACGGAGATGTGGCTAATCTACTGGTATACGTAACTACAGGTCTGCACTTGTCACATGGGTAGACTCTGAATTGTTACATGTAAACTTAGGATAAATGCAGGCCAATTACATTTTGAACGAAAATAAAAAACAAACAAAAAATATATTTCTTATAACTGAAAAAAAATTTTTTGTGTAAATGTTCGAGAGAAAAAATATGTGGGTCTGCAATATTTGCCAATTTTCTAAAGAATTAAAACACTTATTTATGTATTCAATTATGTGTTCTATAAGCCGGATTAAATTTGAGGGAGCATGAATCTTATAAGTGAGGGGGGAGGGGGGAGGGAGAGAGAGAGAGGTTTCCCTTATTAAAGAGTCTTGTCACACCAAAAGGTGCCCAGTAATATATTGTTATTTTTTATACTTTAAAACATTAAGAGTAAATTGTACAATTAAATAATTTTAACATTATGAATATTTTGTTGTTGACAATTTTAATTGGTGCCAATATGACAGAAAATATGATGTGTGTTAGAGAGATACGTTTGCAATTACCTTATGTGACGATGTGACTGAAATATTTTTCTTGCTAGAATTGCTGTGATTGTGTCTGTGATTAAAGTTATATGTCTGTGATTAAAGTTATATGTCTGTGATTAAAGTTATATGTCTGTGATTAAAGTTACCACACCAAAATTTTTAACATTGTTTTTGTTAATTTTAATAGAGAAATTTTATCTAGAATGTTAAAAATTAGTTAATAAATGTGAATTTTAAACAAGATGTTTATTGGGTCTGTGACCATATGCAAAACTCTTAATCACAAAGTAAGGATGAAAAACCTTTAAAGTTGCATGCCTCCAGATTAGCAAAGTAAGGATGAAAAACCTTTAAAGTTGCATGCCTCCAGATTAGCCAAAATATTTTAAGGACATGAACCCTGGGCAAAAATGTACTAATTTTTAAGAAAGGAAAAAAGATTCAAATTTGAAATATTAATTTACATGTAATGGGTGATTAACAATTTATTTTGGCATTATTCCTCACTATATTGTTACTCTGTGACTAATGCAGTAAGGGCTATTTTTGCATATTTTGAGCTCTGTTTGGTAATGTATGTTGATTGTAAATGCTGTTTGTGTAAATTACTTTCTTTGTTCACTTCACTTTAATAATTATGTTTTACTTTTAAATTCATTTTCAAAATTTTCATGAAAAACACGATACCATAGGCATGCTGCTATAAATATGATACAAAGGGACAGAATTTGAAATATCACAAAAAATTAGAAGAAAACAGGAATAAATATCTGTTCTATATTTGATAAATGATCACTGAGTTGAGTTGAGTTGAGTTGTAAATCATGCAGTTTTCTTGAATAAAGGGAGAAAACTCTAACACATTTTACCAACCATTGCTAGTATATTTTTTATTTGGCCAGTCAATTTGATATACATTCTTTTTTTCTTTTTTGCATACAGGGGAAAGGTTTTATATGAAAGCATAATTATTAAAGTAAAAGATACATTTAACAACTTTTTTTTTCTATCAATAAAGCTTGAAAGCTACATGAATATGCCATCTGTTTCTATATAAGCAAACTCAAAAAGACTTGAAAAATGTTGAAAATGATATGAAGTTTTTTGTGGTCACATGTACTCTATAAACATCTTGTATTTTAATTCATCGATATATTAATTATAATTAATTGTTTAAGAGTTATACTAAAAATTTAAATAGTTATAGCATGCTATATGTTGCCATTTGAAAGATACATTATTTTATGAAGATTTTTAAACCTACACTATTGTTAGGCATTTGTAATTACTTTATGTTATATGTTTTAACAGATTTTACCGTAAATAAAACATTATGTTTACTTTTGTGTTCATGTTTTGTGTTTGTAATGTCATTTATTGTAACAGATTAGCTTCCCTTATAGAATGGCTATCCCCTGCCGTTTCGAAGAAATAATGGGATATTAAATGGGCTCTGTCCATCTGTCTGTCCGCCACACTTTGTGTCCACAACTCAGTCATTCATCAAGGGATTTTGATATAACTTGGCACAAGTTTTAACATTATAAAATGATGTCCTGCCGTTTCCTTCCTCCAATGCCAAGGTCACACTTTGAGATCAAAGGTTAACATTTGTGTCTGGCACAAAATTCCGCCCATGCACATCACCAAGATAACCTGCCTCCAAGGTCAAGGTCACAATTAGAAATCAAAGCTTTACAAAGTGTGTTTTTAATTTGTTTTGGGGTTTTTTTTGTATCCGTTTCGATCCCAACTTTTTCATCATAGAAATATTTGGAAAAGGTATGGAAAATTATTTATAATATTAAGACATTGTGTCATGCGCAACACCAAGACCTTTACTAGCAATGTCAATGTGATAACAGCCAGAGCGAATGCATTGTAAAAGAACCATATCTCCATCTTAAATAATTTTTAAAGTATACACGCTCGTAAATTTGCTCAATAAAAGATGTTTAAACTAAATTATTTCCATGCATGTACAATATATATTTTCATCGATAAAAACTGCTAAAATGTATGTATAGGTTATAGAAATATATGATATGAATGTGCTGGGATTGACAACTGTACAATTTATTTTGATTTTAACGCATTTGGCGCTTCACACACAAAGTGTCTGTGGAAAATATTGAACAAGTTTGGAAAAGTCGGGGAAAACCAATTATTATAGTAATACTACTACTGCTGCTACTACTACTACTACTACTGCTACTGCTGCTACTACTGTTGCTGCTACGACTGCTTCTACTACTGCTACTGCTAAATATGTATATTTATAATGTATAAAACAATGATAACAACAAGACAGTTTTTTGACAATATAT